AACTCTCTCCCTTCTGGTTAGTCGGTAAGCTCCGCAATCCCCTAATTTGGCTCGCTTTTGTTCTACTCAATGTAACAAGTTAGAGTCTCGTTGATTAACGTTCACTCGACCGCTAACGGAACTCATCTGTCCCGCTCTGCCTAGGGTCTCGACAGAGGCCATGACAGTCGTAGCAGCTAGTAGTATGGGCAGATAGTGTTGCCGGCTAAGACAAGGAAGACTGGAATGGCCATTTCTGTCTCCCTTGTCAATGCGGGCATTGCTATCTACCTGTACTACTAGTGAGAGTCCTTCAAGCACCGAGGGATGAATTAGCATGAAGAATTTATAAACACACTGGTGTGGGCCAACCATTTAAATATGGCATGCATGTTTTGGGCGTCATTGTTTTTTTTTTAAATTTGGTCAGTTGGACCGTGGAGGTTGGATACTAGACGGCAGCTGCAAAAGCAAACGGGGATACGAAATGTATGACGGCATTGTACAAATATGTAGATAAGGTGAATGATACTGGATTGGCTGAACAAGCAGAATACAAGAAATTTATAGGATCAGTCAGTTTATGGGATGTGATATCAATGAAGAGACCAAACAAGGACATACAATTGGGGCAAGAATGGCGGTGTGAACGTCAGAAAAGTGGAAACTGAAGTCTAAAGGTAGAGGTTATTTACCTGACGTTTCACTAGATAACATAAAATAAGACTGGTGTCAGCATCTGTGTCAACGAGGAATTTACGGCGCATACTCCTGCTGAAAATATATTGAATTTGATTTGAGGACACTAGACCAGTCGAATTCGTCATTGATACTGGCCAGCCAGTGAGATATTTTTTACGAAATGAAGGCGGATAAGGATGGGCGTTTGTTAGGTGGTACCAGAAAAAAAGCCGTCAGGACTGAACAGCCCAAAACTGTAGTAGGAGACCTTGAACTGCAAGTAGTAGACAGACTTCGCCATTGAGAACCCTGGGTGGCACAAATTTGGTTAATCTCAAAAGAGAGGACGTTTAGACGTTTCATGACGTCCTCAATGTTAGGTGCAGTTGTGACATGAATATCGGCTTCGAATACCAGTGGAGGTTTGTCGACCTCGTGAATGCGTTCGGTGATGTCCACTTGCAATTAGACTGATGAAGGAATGTTCGACATAAGGAGACTCCGCACAGAAATGGTCAGTTGTTGGATGAAAAGCCGTTTGCACATTGTGATGTTCAATTTCTGTAGTCTACCAGATGCTTAAGGTATCGTAGAAGCTACGCAGGCTTTTCGCTGTCAAGGCTTTCCTCAGTTATAAACACTATAAGCATTTTTGGATGGGTAGAGATGTGCGTGAAATGAAGCCCGCTTCTAGAATGGCATACGGAGCCTCTTTTGACGGGTTGCCAATTATAGTGATATCAGTTTTGTGTATGAAATCTGTCCTCCTGCCACACCTCTCTATTTCCTCCTCCCCC